GCCGGGGGCGGGGCCGGGGGCGGGGCCGGTACGCGGCGCCGCCGGGGAGGGTCGCGCCGCGGGCGCCCGTGCTTCACTTGCCCGCCTTCTGAGCCTTCTGCGCGGACTTGGTGACCTTGCCGGCGCCGCCGCTCTTCTTTTCCACGTTCTTGATGACGCCCACGGCCACCGTCTGCCGCATGTCGCGCACGGCGAAGCGGCCTGCGGGGAGAGGGCGTGAGGGGTGGGCGAGGGCCGGCCTGGCCGGGCGCAGGCGCACTCGCGCCCGCTGCTACCTGCCCAGCGGGGCTGCTGGTGGCGCGGTGCGGCCGCTGCCCGAGGAGTGTGGGACGCTAGCGCTATCAGGTTCTCGGGTGGCAGGAACGACTGCAGGACCCGCCCCGGGCGTGTGGGGGTCCAAGGACGCGCCGACGCTCTTGGAGCGCGCCTGGCGAGGCACAGCTACGACGAAGCTGGCCGGTAGCCTGCACGAGGCAGCTCTCGCATGGAGGCCGGTGGGTTATCCCGGGCACGTGTGTGCGGCCAGCCAGCCGCTGTCCAGCTCCGGCAGTCAGCCCTAATGCTGCCACTAGACTGGCTATGGGGCCCGGGGCCTTCATCTACAGAGGAGGACACCATCCCAGAGCTGGCCGGCAGGGCTGCTTCGTGGGACGGAGGCCGCAGGTCTCCTGCTAAACTCTAAGCGGAGCAAACCGAAGGGCCCCCCCCCCCCCCCGCCAAACCCCCCACCCGGAAGTGGTCCTCTGGCAGCCCGGACCAGCCCCACCCAGGCCGCACCTCCCTCCACCACCTGCCCAGCTCACCGAGAGGTGGGTACTGTGAGAAGCTCTCCACACACATGGGCTTCCCAGGGACCATCTCCACGATGGCTGCGTCACCGGACTTCAGGGCTTTGGGGTTGTCCTCCAGCTTCTTGCCTGAGCGCCGGTCAATCTTCTCCTTCAGCTCGGCAAACTTGCAGGCGATGTGTGCCGTGTGGCAGTCGATGACCGGTGAGTAGCCGGCACTGATCTGCCCTGGGTGGTTCAGGATGATAACCTGGAGGAAGAGGTGCACAAGGGCACAAGGCCGTCAGGCGTGCCCAGAGGGGGTGAGACGGCATTGGAGCGAAGCTTTAGGCCCAGGGGCCCAGGTGCTGGCCGTGAGGAAAGGTCAGGGACCCACACCCCTGACATGGACCCCAGGGTCCTCATCAAGCCTTTGGCAAACCACAGGAGAGAAACGGCCAGCAAGTGCACTGCATGAAGGGCCACTGGGCAGGACTCCTACTGTCTGCACTGGCCAGAGCTGAGGCAGGGGGATGAGAAAAGCGGACCTCAGTTATTACACTTCGGTTATATGTCAAGGAAGCCAATTTTTACACCTGTGGTCACACGAAGAGGTGACCAAGAGGGTGCCGTGAAAATGTCGAGAAGAGAATAAAAGAAAAATGTAGAGATGTCTCCGGCAATAAACTACTAAAAACATGTTCAGGACTCAAGCGGGACCTCAGTGAGGTTCCGAGGCCGGGCCCCTCCGGTGTCCGCTCTTCCCGTGAGTGCCCTCAGCCCTGATCCAGCCTCTCCAGGCCTGGGTGGCCTCGTTTGTAAAGCGGGGGTCTACGTTTTCCCAGGCGCCCAGCACCGTTCGATGACAGCCCCACCACCCTTGAGGGAACGGGCCACACCGGCCCCTGCAGCCACGCACCTGGGAGGTGAACTGGGCAGCCTCCTGGGGTGGGTCGGACTTGCTGTCCCCACACACGTTGCCTCGGCGGATGTCCTTGACTGACACGTTCTTCACATTGAAGCCGACGTTGTCGCCAGGCAGGGCCTCGCTCAGGGCCTCATGGTGCATTTCCACCGACTTCACCTCCGTGGTGATGTTGACGGGTGCAAAGGTCACCACCATGCCCGGCCGAAGGATGCCCGTCTCCACTCGGCCCACGGGTACGGTGCCAATGCCTGGGTGGAGGGAAAGAGGGCTGTGAGGGGTGGGGGACGGGTGTAGCCACATGGGCAGAGTGCAGAGACGGGGGAGACCCCAGACAAGGCAGACACTGAGGTTCAAATAGAAGTGGAGGCTCCCCTGGCCTGTTCTGTCGGGAACAGAAAGGACTGAACAAGAGAGAACCCCTAGTGGTGCTGGGCGGGAGCAAAGTGGGGGGCGGGGGGGAGCGTGGGCAGAGGGAGGCCCATCTCGACTGGGGGCGGTACTGTGGGGACCCCTCCCTTCTCTGAGGCCCCTCCTGGCGAGGCAGCAGCAGCAGCACGGGTCAAGGTCATCCACCCAGGACTGCCTCCTGTCTCAGGGAGCCACCCCCAGAGGGACACTGTGGCACCAGCGCTTCTCATGGGTCGGCTGACGCCTGTGTGCCTGCTCAGTGGCTATGCGGGGTCCCCCAGCGTGCGTGCAGGGAGACCCTACTCCCATATCCCTGGCTGTGGTATGACAGACATTGAGGCTGGTGGCGGTTTTCTGTGCTAGGTGAGTGTGACACCCCCGTTCTGCACGAGCCCCCTGGCTGGGGGTCTCCACGGTGCCCCTTGTGGGCCTCATGTCTGCTTGTGGTTTCTCTGTCATCTCACGAATAGCATTTCTCATGCCTGGGGTAGGTCATGTCTCCCACAGGACTGGGACGGCCATGGGGGAAGG